AAGTTCGACGTTTGACCTGGGCCTAAACTGTCTTTACTGTGAATATGGGCTTCAGACAACCATCTGAGAAAATGTATTCCTTTATATAATTCTATGCTTATATTAAACTCATTTGTGATTAGACTTTAACTTCTAGTTTAACGATTGTAATATGTCCATGTTTGTCACCAACACCATTCTATTTTCATTTCACGCAGCAAATGAAGCAGATTTCGAATAGATACTGAAAAACTGAAACGTACCTGCATGCGGAAGTATCGGAAACAGGATAAAATATAAGAGATAGCTTGACGAAAGAGCGTTTACCGCGATCATCACCCCACAGAAAACTTTCAAGTCTCTAAATGGTGATGTCGCAGTCACTCAGTCACTCAAGGAACGAAAAAAAACACTCGTTGGTCGCCGCTAGATAACAGACTCAATTGTCAACGTCGCCATGTTTAATCAGCCTGATCACTTCACGCGAATTGAGTCACACAACACGCATGAGAGAGAATACCTGTAAGAGTATTAAAGCCTGTTTTCCCTCTAAACATCGTGTCATTATTTAGGACCATTTTTGCATTTATGCCAAAAATTATGAGTAAACAATCCTAGAAAGCAGTTCTATATTCTTTGCAAACAAAATTTCAAGTCGAAAATCAGCTGAGCGGAACACGGGAAATGGTTTGACACAGTTAGAGGTAGATCGCGATGCTTCGTTGCTCATATGAGTTGTTGGATGAAAAGTAATAATTTACATCTAACATCCATTCCTGGTGAAATATAGATCAAAACATTTGTGGTAGGGTATCTTTAGCAATCGTCTTTCGCCTCCAAGCGGAAGTTAATGAGACATAATGACATAGTTCTGTCATTTCGTGGAATACTTACTCGTACGCGGAGGTGTGTGCCATATTCGTTGACAGCCTTGAAAATTCTGATATGACCATTGCTCGATAGCACGAATCCATTGTTTTTGTGAAGATCGTGCAAACGGATTAAGTCCTCAGTCGTTTGTAAATATGTAAAATACTCACCTACAAAGTAGAAATACGTCGTCAGATTAAGTACCAGGCAAACCATGCATTTTCCAAAGCTCGTCATGTCACTGCTTTTTAAATTAAACATCGTGATTAAGATATTCACAACTAGTTTTGTGAGATTTCTTTCGTCTGCTCTGCTCCGCATATATTCCAGGTCATTTCACAAGGTTCATGTCCGATAGCGTGACAAACCTTCACGCTGTAAACTTTAGATTCCAGGCTCCTCGCCGTTGGTTTCACTCAAAAGTGGATTCTTTCAGGTACAAGAGCTTAATGTGCTTTTGTCGGGCGGTACAGACGACTCAAACAATATCGAGAGCTCAATGAACACAGTCTTTATTCCTGAGCTTGACCACGAGGACTTCGTGTTACAACAACANCGAATGCTTCTCTTGTCGATTTATCGGATCGATCCCACTTCTGACACCATGTCGGGCGGTACAGACGACTCAAACAATATCGAGAGCTCAATTAACACAGTCTTTATTCCTGAGCTTGACCACGAGGACTTCGTGTTACAACAACAACAACATGATCTGGGGAGCCCGGATGTAGTTTCCCTCAGGGAGGGCCTAGGTACAAGTGACAGGCCAACACTTTCGTGTTTCCTTTTCGTTTCCTGTTTTCAGAAATCAAAGTGAACCGGTTTATCTTTATCGAATTTATGACTTCCCTTTAACTCTGAAGATAACCTGACCAGTCTAAAAATAAAATAATTTTATTTTTAACACATATATCATTTGAGCTGACACTGATGCGAATAACTTTTTCACCCCAGTGGTTACTCGATAGCTCTGTATGCTATTCGATTCAAAGTCGAAGTTTGTGATCACCGCTGCCGTCAACTCATTCTCGCGCCTCCTAGCCGACAGGGCCATGGCATGAGCAAAAGGGTGGCTCTGGAGACTCGTGATTTGATTGGCTAGATACTGTGACAAAGATTTTCACTAATTCATTGCTGGTTTCATACCCGAATAAATATCCAATGGTTGATGCCTAAAACCGAAACAAGTTACGGTTAAATGTATCCAGTAAACCAGTCAGTAATACTGAACCACTAGTAGCGTAGCCTTTACGGGTTGAATTTTTCCTCTCTTAAAAGCGAAATAGCGAGACCGATTTCGCTTACTCTGAAATGTAGGTGTATTTTGAGCGAGTGAGAGAGTGTTGAATTCGTCATCTTGGACTCGGAAAAAAAATGGAA